TAAACTCTGGGAAGCTCCATCTCTTGCATATTTGATGAGATAGTGACATCTTTCTGTTTATAAGCTCTAACTGTTCTTCTAGGGACCTTGCAGTTTGCACATAATTGTTTTGTATCATGGCAGTAAATATTTGTGAGAAAGCCCACTCTACAACTTTCCCAATGATAAGCATACCATTTTAGACAATCTACACAGTTTGTAGTCTACAGTTCTTTAATGTAACAAAATACTTAATGTTTACAAGTACGTTTGATTTTATGATTTACGCTGATTAGGTACTTTTTAAAAACACCCATCAGTTGCACTGAATGGTATCTGCACTCAACAGTTTATTCCTGCTGATGTGTTCAAAAGACAGTGCGACAGGAATTCAGTGTGTGGCATCGTTGGTTTTCTTGGCTTTGTGCATGTTAAACCTGGTATTTCTACTGATACATTATGTTTTTCTAATACTCATTTTATTCGTAGTCAATATAATATTTTTTAAATTTAGAGTGTCAGCAAAGCGGCAGATCCATTTACCATAAATACTCCTAAAATACAGATCGTCAGCAGAAATTGGATGATAAGATCCCAGGACAGATGGAATGAGTGGATTAAGCAGCAAATTCCTTTAAAAAGGGCTATCTTGAAGATGACAATCTCATTGACTGACCTTAAGGAATATTGCAGAAATCACGTGAAATTTCTTAAATAAAAATTTATTTAATGTCCAAAAAAAAAAAAAAAACCACCCATCAGTCTAGTATACATTACTACAGAGTCTGCTTTGGGTTCCTTTTGCTTAAATACTATTAATTATGAATTACTTGGTAGGTAGAACTCCTAGAACAATTGGGTGGTAAACAGATACTACCAAACCTGTCAGATTTCCTTTGAGGAGTGACAAAGAGCATGACTTCACCACTTTCCTAGGATAGCTGGGAATCTCTTTTACTACTAAGCAAAATCTCAGTACAGACTGTAGCTCAGGACAATTCATAATTAAATTTCTATTTGTCCTGATGATGCTTCTAAAATAATACTGGTATGTATATTAAAGAAGTTTGATGCTACATTTTAACTGATCTCATTAATGAAGCTGGTTGTTTTTACTTTCAATCCTGTGATAGGTACAATGGATTTGCATTGCTTTGTGCAGTGTTTTTAATTACATGGTGTTTGGTAGGATGGTTTATTTTGGTTTTAGAAGGATGTAAATAGTGTTGATTAAGACATCTTTTTTCATAAATGTTGGTTGTAACTTGTGTAATATTTATAAATATCTACATCTTTTTTATTTTATGGAAAAAAGATACAATTTCACAACAAAATAATAGGAGAATAACAATAATTAACACATTACATGTTGTTATCTTTAAAGTAGTTTCTCAGGGTGCAACATATGGGCATAAAGCTTTCTCCAGTCAATATCAGCACAAATCTTCCTTTTTAATGAACTAAGAGACACTAATAGTATAACTGACTGGCATTTTTCCCTTTTCTCTACTGTCTTTTCCTCTTTCATGCATCCTAGTTCCTTTTTCCTTTGAACAATTTCTTTCCATTTCACAATATCTATTGTACATGTTAGAACTTATTTACTATTTCAGGAAGACAATATGCTGCTTACAAATGTGAGTCTGATTTATTTCACTTAAGAGTAGGGTTCACATTGCATCCACTTACTTATAAAAGTCTCAAGTTTATCTTTCTTTACGGCTGAGTATTACTCCATTATATATAAATACTACATCTTTTGTGCATTCCTTGGTTGGTGGCATTTTGGTTGTCTCCAAGATTCACCTATTATAAATTGTGCTGCCATAAACATGGGCGCTCATATATCACTGTGGTATGCTGCTTTTAATTCTTCTGGGAAGATAACCAGCAGGAGAATAGCTGGGGCAGAACGGGACCTCTAATCCTAGTTTCTTGAGGAATCTCCACACTGATTTCCACAGTAGTTGTACCAGTCTACACTCTCACCAAAGGGCTCCTTTTTCTCCACAGCCTCTCCAATATTTGTTATTGGTTGAGTTCTTGATGATAGTCATTCTTTCTGAGGTCAGATGGAATCTCAGTGTTACTTTAATTTGCATCCCTCAAATGACCAATGATGTTGAAAATGTTTTCACTTATTTGCCATTTGTATTTCTTCACCTGAGAATTTGTATTCATCTCAGATGCCCATTTTTGAATTGGGTTTTTGAATTTGGGGGGGGGGTAATAATTTTTTTTCAATTCTTCATGTGTTCTAAATAGAAATCCTTTGTCTTAGGAGCAAATGGCTAAAATTTTTTCCCACTCTGTGGGTTGTCTTTTCACTTTGTTGGTGATTTCTTTTGATCTCAGTTGTTGATTCTTTAAAGTATTTCCTCCACAGCCTGGAATTTATTCATGAACTCTCTACCTATACCTGTATCTTCAAGATTTCTATCTACTTTTTCTTCCAGTAGATACAGTGTTTCTGTTTTAATGTCCATATCTTTGATCCACTTTGACTTTAGATGAATGCATGGCGATGGACAGAGGTCTAGTTTTAGCTGCTGACATGTAGACAGTTTTTCCAGCACCATTAATTAAAGAGGCTTTCTTCCAGTAAACATGTTTGGCTCTTTTGTCAAAGATCAGGCGAATAAGTTTGCAGTTGTTCCATCTTCTAATCTGTTCCACTGGTTTTTAGGTCTGTGTTTTTGCCAGTACTATGATGAATTTATGAATATCTGCATTTTACAGCTTTCATAAATGACTAGTATTCAAAAACCTATTCCTGTGTTTTGAGTGGTGGGAAAAAAAACTGACAATTTGGGAAAGGCATATTCCTTGCAGATTCTAACCTGAGAAAATACTATTGCAATGAAAATTTTGATAATTTACTATAACAACTATTAGTTTATCAAACCTAACTTTGTATAGAATAATAACTTTTCCACAGTATTGTTTTCCAACTTCTTGCTATTGTACATTGTGTTTTTCTAAACTCTTGTTATTTAATTTACATTGATCTATGCTGTTTTTGTCTATTTTAAGTAGTTGATCCTTCAAAATTAGTCACTATAATACCCATCAGTAGGATTCTGATTTTAATTTCTTGGCACTTTATGTATAACTTCAAATTATAAAGATTTTTGTGGACCTTTTCAACATGCATGTTATTGATTTTACTTCAAGTTGTTTACAAAATATATATCTTCACATACAAAAAACTTCCCATCCTACTTGATTTACACTCATTAGTCTATATTACATATGAGCAATTTTTTATGCATTGTGTATTAATTCTGAAATGTTACCAAAAGGTAGCTAGTATGTGTTTATGATTTGGTCCTGTTGCATTAAACTTTAGATTTGTGTATTCATGTAGTTATTTTGAAAGAACTTCTAATTTTTGCTTCTGTGGCTATGTAATAATCTTTCTGTATGTTGAATTGTGGTCTTGATTTGGTTAAGATCTGCATATATACAGATCATTTGAATATAATTTTAAGAAATTTGTTTAAAAAATGTCTAACAGATGTCCATTTGTTGATCTGTAGACTATTCAAGTTTTTTCCACACACATCTTTATTTACACTACTTTCAAAAGATACAGATATTATTTATTTTATACTGGGAATTGAACTCAGGACCTTGCACTTGCCAAGTAGGCGCTTATGCCACTGAACTATATCCCCAGCAAGATACAGATTTTAAAGCTTGCTGATGTGACTTTAGTAATAACTGATTATATAAAGATGTGTGTGTAAGTACTGCTTAGGTTTGTTTTTCTTCCTCAAGTATTCATGAGTGGTTTATTTCCTAGCCACCTTTGTGCATCTGCCATCTCTTTTAGTCTCAACTTGTCATTTGAGGATAGTTTAATTAGCAGTGTTTTTGCTTCACACTGTACCCTTGAGTCATTAAAAACTGTAATGGAACATATGATAATGGAAAATAAGTTATTTAAATCTGTTATCTGAATACTTAAATATGTGTCATGAGATCCGTTATGATATTGTGCTGAAAAATCTGAAACAGGAAAATTTATTTCTCTACATACTCTCATAAAAATTGCCAGTGATTAATGTTCCAAAGATGTATAATAACACAACACTTAATCTTTTCGAAGTTCGCTGCTTAAATTTAATCGACCTCTTTTTAAGGAACATTTTACCTAGTCACAATATTTAAGTCACTCAACTTCATGAATATCACGGCACTAGACATGCTCTAAGAAGTCATTTAGCCAGGTAAGGTAGCAAACACCTGCAATCCCAGCTACTCAGGAGCGGAGGCATGAAGATAGGAGTTCCAGATCAGCCCAGGCAGTTTAGGGAGGTCCCATCTCAAAATGAAAAATTTTAAAGGCCAGGTGTATAACTCAGTTATGTAATGCCCTTGGGTTCAATCCTCAAGTACCAAAAAAGAAAGAAAGAAAGAAAACAGGAACCTACTGGCTCTTTAAATGACATTTTAAAAAATTCCAGGACCACTGCCACCTTATATTAAGGATCGTCATCTGAGGCGTCAAATGTACTTTGCAAGATTTTCTCCCTGTCATATTTATGGATCACAGAGCACTAACAGGCCGCAAGAAAAAGTAAGATATCAGCGGAAAAACAAAATAAAGCATCCTGTATTAATTCCCAGGCATAAAAGTAGCCCTTGCCAGGTGCAGGGGCAGCGGGGACCCGTTAACGATTTAGCGCAAAGACCACCAACAACAGGATCCCGGGGGCACTGAGGGTCCTCCCAGGTCCTAACAGTCTACGTAGGCGCTCAACGTGCAGCGTGGGGACAGACACTGGGATGGTCAATGCGGGAGAGCAACCGCGCAGAGCAGCATCCAAGCAGCTTTGAGACTTCCGGATCTCTGCACGGCTCCCAGACGGGGGTGGGGCCACGCGCGCAGGGGCGGGGCCGTTGGGGGCGGAGCGAGCACGGGTGAGGGGCGGGAAGCGCGGGGTGGGCGGGGCCACACGTGCGGGGGCGGGGCAAGCGTGATCGGGGGGCGGGGCCGCGCGCCTGCCGCTCAGAGGGCTTCGGGAGCGCGCAGCGCGGGACCGCTGTGCTGTGGCGACGGGGACGCAACTGAGGCGAGCGCCGCAGGTGACCGCGGTGAGGCGCCGGGTTCGCGGGCGGCTGAGGCGCTGTGGGCTGGAGGCGGGCCCTCGCTCGGCTCCTCTCACGGCCTCGGTGCTGCGGGCAGAGCGGACGCGGTGAGCCCGGGCCGGTGCCGAGCTTCGGAATCCCCCTGACAGCCGGCGCCGCCCGCGGCCCTCAGCATGCTCCCCGGGGCGAGGGTTTTCCTCCCGCCCGTGGGCTGAGCGGCGACGGCCGCTGCCGCAGACGCGGGATGCACCTGCCGGGAGCGGCTTAGAGGACGCGGCCGGCGGGGAGTTCCAGCCGCCAGCCGGAGGCTTTCGTCGCCGTCAGCGCCGCTGCAGCCGCGGGCCCGAGCAGCAGCGTGGGGGGCGCCCCGCCATGGCGGCCCGGAGCGCCCCGAGCTGCCACCTGCGGCTGGAGTGGGTGTACGGCTACCGGGGCCACCAGTGCCGCAACAACCTCTACTACACGGCGGCCAAGGAGATCGTGTACTTCGTGGCGGGGGTCGGCGTGGTCTACAGCCCGCGGGAGCACCGGCAGAAGTTCTACCGGGGCCACAGCGACGACATCATCAGGTACGAGGACCTCGCCTGCCCGCGCCCAGGGCGTCGTGACCTCTCGCGCGGGGAGCATCGCCCAGGGAGGAGTCGCGGGGGTCTGGTCCCGGGCCCACACACTCTGCCCGTCTTCCCAGGCTCGAGACCCTCTTGTCGGCCAGTGCTGCACCAGGCATTCGATTCCATGGCTTTGTGCCCTTTTCCCTTGCATCAAAATTACGAAAAGTGCGAAAGGTTATTTGGGTAGCACGTTAAAAAAAAAAAAAATTAGTGGGATTTTTCTTAAACGTGTTCTTAAAGAGCAAGGGAGAAATCTTTAGAGTACTGACCGGAGCGCTAGGGACCTAAAGATGGTCCTGGGAGGGCGCCCAGGATGGCATTCTGTAGGGCTGTCACCTCTTGATTATCTGTTAGTTCAAATTTCATTGCCTGCAGTTAGCTGATAGAAAAGAAACTCAGGCAACCCTCAGGCTACTCATATAGGTTGAAATTTGCTCACTTGAAGGCAGTTTGGTGTAGATCTCACCCGAAAACGGCTGTTAGAAAACGGCTCCACCGATGATCTGGTTTTATCTTAACTAAAGTACTCCTAAATTTACTTTCCTGCCTCTTTATTTAAATAAGCAGTGGGTTTTTTGTGTGTGCTTATTTTTCTTTTGGGGGCGGCATCTGCAAGTTGGTCCTAGTGCTTGTTTACATTTCTTTAGTGAGCGGTATATTTAAAATGTAATTATTCAATCAGTGTCTTAGAACTTTTGTGGTAAAGTTAGAAGCTTCACAAATAGGTCGTTGATCATTGCACAGCATTTTTGTCCTTTATGAAATAGAATGTATTGAAAACATTTGGAGGATAAGTGTGTGTGTGTGTGTGTGTGTGTGTGTGTTGCTTCTGGGTTTTTAAAAGAAATTTTGCGCTTGTTTGGCTAACCTTGTTCCCTTATGTTTGTTCAACTGCGCTTAAATTGGGTATTTTGAATGCAGTATCTTGGTTGATGTCTTGTAAGTAAGAAGCTCTTATACTTAAATTGTTTTGCTTTGTATCTCTGTGTATGATGTGTAGAAGAGGCAGTGGCCTAGGACAAACAAGGGAGAACAAGATGGAGTAAAGATAAGAAAAGCAAAAATTGAGATTGTAGAATAGAGAATAAGGCTTTTATTTAAGACATGGAGGTGGAGTACTGATTGTACAGGATGAGATTGTAGGTGATGCATTGCTTTGAAAAGGAAACTGACAAGTGATTTCATTTTTCTCAATTTAGGATTCTTTTTGTAATGGTGATCAAGGTTACAGACCTAGTAGAATTCTGAAGTTTAAGTTGCTAATTAAAGCAAAAAAAAAAACCTCTGTAATAATTGTTTACATTGTTATTTATCCCAAGAACAGAGGTAATCTTAGTTTCTTTTTCACTAATCCTTTCAAGTCTCTCTTTCATGTATTAGTACCAAGAGTACCTGGAGTAACTGGAGTACCAGGTATACTAGCTTTACCTGAACAAAACAGCCTTAATTGAAGCCTTCCTCCATGTATTATCTCTTAGGTTGAATTTAGTAAGTGGTGCAGATGTGAAGGATTTTCGGCTCTTCATAGTGCACTTGAATTTTTTTCTAGGTGGTGGTTAGGGAAGTAGTATTAACTACCATATACTAGTATTTATTGTATTTCTTTAGTTATTTGTTTACTAATATTTATTACAGTAATTAGTTTAAATATACAACAGAATTTTAATGTCAGAAATAATACAGGACTTTTTTGGTCACTTTTTCTTTTTTGTTTCAGGTTATATTAATACGTTTCTCTAGTTACTAGGTATTTATAGAAATTTTAAGACTAAATTATAAAGTATACCAAAGTAGGACCAGTTTTAGCGTGTTTGTCAATACCTGTCTATATTTGGAAACTTGCCAGTTGTCTTCCCAATGAATGTGATAGCTTTTAAAATTTGTTTTTCTGTTTATTGCTCAGCAGCAATGTTTTTGCAAATTTATTATGAAAGTATGAATATTATCAAAAGCTCTCAGATCTCTAATACCAGTAAAGACTGTTCATGGAATATAGTTAACTTGGTTTCCTTGTGGAAGTGACCAGATTTGTATTTTTTTATATATAGAATTTGAAGTGCATTGTTGTTAAAACATGGTGAATGTTTCTCATAAAATAGTGATAAGGTCAAATGGTAATGCATGTGAAATACATTGAGAGGTATATTATGCTGGGGACTGAGCTCAGTGGCATAAGTGTCTGCCTAACAAGTGTGAGGTCCCAAGTTTGATCCCAGTACCCCCCTCAAAAAAACTATGCAGTTGCTGATTAGAGTAATAATTCATTGCTTTTAAGTCTATCTTCTCTATTTAGACTAAATGATAGGTATAGTAGTTCTTTCCTTCAGTTGTTAGGTGGTGTTCTTAAGAAAACTGATCTTTTACCTAGTAAAAGTGGTTTCTGACAGCTCAGTATTTATGGTTATAGAAACTTCATTTAATCAACACAAGTCAAAATTGTATTTGGAAAAACAATTCCATTGTTTTTAAGGTCTGGATAATTTTTAAAATCTGGCAAGAGTTATGAGAGACCTATTTGTATTCTACCTCATGTTTCTAAATATGTGATTAGCTCAAGAATCAGTCTGATCATCAGAATAGTTTGAAGAATTTTCAGAAATTTTTACCCTTTTTCTCAAATACAGTAAGAGGGAATCTTCTAGGATTTTGGCTGGAGCCTGCAATCATTGTAAAAAGTGCCTCATGTGATTGATTGGGAATCATACTGCCATCCTGTATTATTAAGATAATCAGTTTGATGAAAAAATGTTCATTATCATTACTCATTAGAGAAATGCAAATTTAAACCACACTGAGATTCCATCTCACTCCTGAAAGAATGGCCAGGATCAAGAAAACTGCCAACAACAAATACTGGAGAGGCTATGGGGAAAAGGGAACTCTCCTTCACTGTTGGTGGGAGCATAGACTGGTGCAGCCATTGAGGAGGTCAGTCTGGAGATTTCTCAAAAAGCTGAGATTGGAAGTCCCATTTGTTCCAGCTATTCCACTTCTAGGCATATTCCCAGAAGAACTGAAAACATCATACTACAGTGAAAAATGTGCACCCATGTTTATAGCAGCACAATTTATAATAGCTAGATCTTGGAAACACGTTAGTGTCCATCAACTGAGGAATGGATAAAAAGCTGTGGTATTTTTATACAATGGAGTACTACTCAGCTATAAAGAATGATCACATTGAGATATTTATAAATAAATGGATGCAACTTGAGACCATACTCATAAGTGAAATAAATCAAACTCATGTGTATAAATACCAGATAGTCTCTCTCATGTAAGAAATGGTAAGAATACATAAGAGTTTATAGTAATCATGATTCCCCATTACATTGCTCTGAAGCTTTATAATGTCTGCATTCATTAGTTGGAATGGCTTTATCCTAGCTTGTTTGATTTTATTATCTATGATAGTATAAACAGCTATTTTAAAGAAAACAAGACATTAGAATAGCCAGTGCTGATTTAGTATCATTTTACTCTGAAGTTCTACTATGCCTTTGTTTTTTTCTTTCCTTTGGTTATATCCTGTTATATCTTATTGGATATTATTATGTGTAATAGTATAAACAAATTTTCTATGGAAAATGAGATAATATAGTAGCTATTGTTCATTCTCTGCTATTTGGTTCTGAAAGCCCTGTAATGCTTTCATTCTCTTGAATGGTTTTATGCTGTTTCGTATGTTTGATACTATCGTATATGAAGCTATACTCAACTATGTCAAAGAAAGAGACATTATGGTAGTTACTGTTAATTATGGGTTGTCTTGTGGTAAAATGCTGTGTTACTTGCATTGTTCTGATCTGATCTGCTTTGTCTCTTTTGTCTTAATCTCTTTAAAGTAAAAAAATTTTTTAAAAAAGATAACCAGTTTGAGAAATAGGCATGAACTCTCCCCTCAAACTTGAGACCAGAATTTACTTACACATTGTATGATATCTAGAAACAACTTTTCATAAACTATTAGACTACATATGGGTTTCATAAAATTTAATAACTAGAATTAGGTTAACTTTCACAGAGTGTGTCATGATTCTTTTTGATAAGACTTTTGATATGGGCAGAAAAATGATGAACTCCAAAAAGTTTTAAAAAGCGCTTTATTAGCTGAGCTTAGCACGACACTGTCTCGGGATGGCAGGAAAGTGTGCCACTGAGCCACGGGCTGCATGAGCCAGGGGTTATAGCAAGCTGCAAGGGGAGAGATCAGGGTCTTAGGATCAGTTTGTCCCCATAAAAGGAACCAGGAAGGTGGAACAAGCAGTTACAGAAACCAGGGAGGCAGGGAGGGGGTTACATGGTGGGTATGTTACAAGGTTGCAACTTAACTGGCAAATACACAAGTTTTACAGGAAGAGAGCAAGTTATAATAAGTACAGCATGTTTTGGGTTTTTGAGCTTCTTGCAACTTTTATCAGTCTGGATATTGAAACATGTAATATTACATTAAAATTTTCAAATACTACATGCTTTGAAAAATGAACTTAATAGAAAGATAGGAATTATGTAGAATAATGGTTGGAATACTCATAAATATGTATTAACTGTACTGTTTACCTAAAGCTGAATTTTTAGATTTGTATTAAACTATTTTCTCTTATTATTTTTAGACTGTCCTCCATGTAAATATGCAAATAATGAAATGTTTGGATATATATTAAAACATAGAATAAGTTTTTAGAAGTCATTAAGAATTTACTTTTATTTCAAGATTTTTGAAGTGGGTTCGTAAACAATATAGGAATCCAAGCAGCCAAATTCATAAATTTGGAATTTTATTAGCTGAGCATAGACCCCTGTTTCAGAGGCAAAACGAGTGGTGCTGAACTGAAGGGGCACAGGGCATTTAAAGCAAAAAAACTGCGAAGCAAAACATCCTGTGGGAAACAGTTTAGCTAGAATCTTAAATTAATTTTGGTTGACAGGGGTATCCTGCTTCTTTGATGAGCAGGTTA